CTTCATCGTAGCTCACATATTCGGCCCATGTTATTCTCACTATCTTTGTGTAGAATCATATTTCTGTTGCTTCAAGTCTTTTCTTCATCTTTGATGAGATTGCCGAGTATTCATTGCCATTTAGGAGGACAGATAGCACTTAATATTCCCGTACTTTTTCGTTGTTATTAATGAAAATTTTTCTGTTTCTTAATACTTTGCTTAGCTTTTGGAATGCACCTTCGGAATTCAATGTCACATTTCCCGTACTATGTTAAAAGATTTCCAAGATATTTAAATGTCTAAGTTTCAAAAACATACTGATAACTTGTGGGTGTATGGAATTTATCTTTAAAAGCGAACGGATTCAACTCATTATTCAAATCCTTGCTCTTAAAGTTCGGTTAGAAGCAGAGCTTTGAATAATAATTTCCGCGTCATGATACCAGAAAATAGTGACCAAGTCGTTGGTTCTGTCTGCACAAAGGTGATATTAACTTGATCACTTCGGGCCAGTGAGGTTTTCTCTTCCTAAAGGGTTTTATATATTCAGTAATAATAATAATAATAATTCGTAGCAGGTTGTACGGTGTTGGCACCCACTGAATATAAAACCCGACATGACAGAGTGGGCCAATATCTGCACTGGAAAATCTGCAACTTCTACGGGAAGGAAACTGAAAGAAACTGGTATGAACACCACCCAGACCCGGTTACGGAGATAGGACCTGTTACAATTCTATGGGACTACACAATACACACTTACAGATCAATCAAGGCCAACCGCCCAGATATTGTTATTAAAGACCACAAACAAAAACGGTGCCTCCTTATTGATATGGCAGTCCCTGCCGACTGCAATGTATCTTTGAAGATATTCAAAAAGTTGTCAAAGTACAAGGACCTTGAAATAGAAATCGCGAAAATGTGGCATATGGGAACATCAACAATCCCTGTTGTAGTTGGAGCCCTAGGACTGGTTGGAAAAGATTCCAGTAGACTAATTGAAGGGATTCCTGGAAGTCCATGCCTCAAGGAGATACAGAAAATTGTTCTGACAAGTACAGCCCACACCTTTACGAAGGGCTTTATCTATGTAATCTTTTTTTTTTTTTGGCAGTGGAAAGTGTCATGACGCCATTTCTAACCTTAGGTCCCTGGGCGGTACCCGGAAAGAAATGTGTAAACGCCAGAAATCAAAGAAAATAATAATAATAACAATAATAATGACTATAATAATAATAATAATAATAATAACAACACCATTAACTAAGGTTAAAGACTATTTAGAATTTTAGTTCTTTTTATCTAATCTACCTTGGTGACTAATGATCTTACGGACGAGGGGTTTTAAATTATATGTAACCCCTCTCTAAAAAAATATGAATGGGTCGAATAATTTCACGATCCCAGTTTAGTTGGAGTTAATTAAACTAAAGGAGTTATAAAATTTATTAAATCCAGAGGGGCCTAATTTTTGGTCTATTGTATATGTAAACTATTTACATTGTTCGGACTGTTGTCCTCATCTTCGTTGCCATGTTCACGACGTTTCCACCGTTGTTCGCTCAGGCCTTCTTCAGGTGACTGGAATGTCTGACCGAGCCCTTTATTTCGTTCACCTGTGTAAAGTGTTCTAGTTTCATGTGCCATGCGTCTCCCTTTAACAAATCTCTCCAAGATTTTTTTGTTCACCTTTGCTGTGTGCAGGTATTGAACTCCCAACCCTTTGTGTCAAGTCACTGGATTCAACCGACACTTTTATCTGCTGGGTCATGTGTTCTTGAGTGTATGAATATTTGGGACTTATAAACATAATATTTCGCTAACATTTTTACCAGAGCTCATATTACAGTTTCTGTTGATATTGTTTTTCTGTGGCACTCCGTACAAATAGTTCCCATATTGTATTAATGTTTGGCTAGCTTAGGAGATTTTTGTGGCCTACCATATTCGCTGATTCCTTAAGTTTTCGTATTTTCCAGTGATGTTCTCTATTATTCCAACCTCATTCCACAGGTGGCGGTGATCCATATGTGGTCAGCTACGCCTGATTTTTCTATTTCCCCTCGTGTTATGGCTTTACCGTGTTCCTGCAGCCTTAACTTAAGATGGCAGCCTATTTCTCTGTGATATGTCTTACCAAAACTGCATGAGATTGCGTACACACAGTCCTTAATCATGTTCTCCTCTATGGAAGGTTTTATTTGGAAGAGGTCTCTGGGAAATGTTGAACCTCTTTTGAAGGTCGTCTAGATGTTATACGGACCACAGATCTTTTGTATTTTTTCCGATAATCCCTTCACATAGGATAGGTAGACCGAGGCTGTTTTATGACCGTTGTTATCCTCTTGCATTCTTCTATACTATTTTGTCGGAGAGGCTGTCATGTAACCAGGGTAGTTGTTACGTTGTAGCCTATTGCTTATACTAACAGTTGCTTGTTCATATGTCTCCGGGTCACCACTTATGACTTTTGCTCGATGTTGTATTTGCGAACGATCTCATTCTTTACTCTGTATGTTTGGTGGGAGTCAAAGTTGAGATATTGTCTTGGCTTGCGATATATGGATGTCTTGAACCTATGCTCTGATGGAGATATTTACAACCCAGAAATGCTAGTTTGTTGATCAATTGGGAACTGTATCGATGATCTTATTGATTTCACATGATCCAGTAGTAGCTGGATCTCATCCTGGTATGGTCAGAATATGAAGGGATGAGTTCTAGACCAGTCTGTCCCTGACTACCGATAGTAACTCATCTGTGGGTACCTTGGTTAACAAACTCACCACGTCCAGGCTCACCAAGTTACCCATGGAGGAGACACTATCGGAATTCAGGGAGGAACTGACCTCGGACTCATCCCTAGGAGAACTTAACAGTATACCAATAAATAACCTAATTGAGATACTGGTCTTTCCGTACGCACACAAAAAAATACGTTTCGGAATGAGATTATACATATATCGGCAGGGTGGAGTTTTATTAATGGGCTTGCCATTATCACGAGGAATGGCTAACATATACATGGAATACTTCGAAAAACTGGTATTAGAATCCACATCATTAAAGTCAACTGTACGACAGAGATACGTAGATGACACCTTCATACTTAGACCACCCCAGGAAGACGTCCATTAGTAGCTGGACCGTGTTAGCATCGATACAGTTCACAGTGGAGAGAAGGAATTAAAGCGAATAGGAAATATGTGAAGAAATAAGAAAAAAGATGGAAGATAGGGAGAAAAAAGACGGTTGATAGGTGCATATATCCAAGTAAAATGAGAATAAATGGAGTTTAATTCCACTGACCGTAACATTTACTTTAAAAGAGGTTTCAATACAGAGTAAAGCTAAATATCATTTATTTTAGGATATTAAAACAAAAACACGTTAAAAGTGGATAATTGCTATTTTGTAGCGATTTTAACATGTTTTTGTTTTAATATCCTAATATATATATATATATATATATATATATATATATATATATATATATATATATATATATATATATATAATATAAATATTTAAATATATATTATATTTTTTATTTTATGATATTAAAACAAAAAACACGTTAAAAATGGATAATTGCTATTTTGTAGCGATTTTAACATGTTTTTGTTTTAATATCCTAAAAAATATATATATATATATATATATATATATAACATAAATATTTGAAATATATATAAATATATATTTCTTATTTTATGATATTAAAACAAAAACACGTTAAAAATGGATAATTGCTATTTTGTAGCGATTTTAACATGTTTTTGTTTTTATCATAAAATAAGAAATATATATTTATATATATTTCAAATATATATATATATATATATATATATATATATATATATATATATATATATATATATATATATATATATATATATATACATACATATATATATATATATATATATATATATATATATATATATACATACATATATATATATATATATACATACATACATATATATATATATATATATATATATATATATATATATATATATATATATAAGTAGTAGTCCGTTGGTATAATCCAGGGGCGTCCTATTAACACAAGAGATAATTTGAAATATGTTAAATCTGACTCACAAAACAGCGGTCAATATTCATTTTAATTAAATGAGCACATTTTCTTTACAATTGGAATTAAGATACATTTTGAATTGTAATTAAGACACCTTTAGTATCATAATTTCAATTTTAACGAATATATATATATATATATATATATATATATATATATATATATATATATGAAGGTAAAAGACAATAGCAAAACTGTATTATTTGCCGACGCGTTTCGTACAATATGGACATTTTCAAGGCAAAAATGAAATTAATTTATAAAAAACAAAATAAGTATTAACAACAAACAAAATGTCCTTAGCGACTAGAAGAATTTAGAAAACTATTATATCCATATTGTCAACTGAAAATACGAATACAATAGTGTTTTCTAAATTCTTCTTGTCGATAAAGACATTTTATTTATTGTTAATATTTGCTTTTTTTCAATAAATTAATTTCATTTTTGCCTTGAAAATGTCCACATTGGATGAAACACGTCGGCTAATACAGTTTCCCTATTGTTTTTTTTAAAACTTTATTCTTATTGTCTTTTTTACAGGTTAACTCAGAGAAATTTTCATATATATATATATATATATATATATATATATATATAAAGTTATATATATATATATATATATATATATATATATATATATATATATATATAAAAGTGAACATAAAGTCAACACTTAGAGGCGTCTGTTTCATGCTATATGCAATATTGCATATAGCATGAAACACACTGTCGCCTCTAAGTGTTGACTTCTATGTTCACTTTTATATTTACACACGGTCTATCTCTGATATTGAGCACTTTATTCCATAAATATAGTAAACCTTAAGACTATATTTCTTTTATATATATATATATATATATATATATATATATATATATATATATAAGATAAATTTTCCTTTTGTTTTTATTCATATATATATATATAGAGAGAGAGAGAGAGAGAGAGAGAGAGAGAAAGAGAGAGAGAGCGTGATATACAGACAGAGAGAGGAACAGGGAAGAAGAAGATTGATGAAGAAAGTGTGGAATAGATAACGACAAAGAGAAAAAGGGAAAGGAAGTACGAGAGAGGAGGGCAGAGAAGAGAACTAGATAAATGAGATTTTTTTGGACTTCACTGCAAGCAAGGCAATAAATCCACTAAGACCCCAGAGTTTACTGAGTGTGAAAGGATATGGGAAAAAGAAAAACATCAATATTAAAGAGAGAGAAATAATAGGAAGAAAAATATATACAGAGTGCGGGATAGAAATAGAGAGAAGAACGAGGAAGAAAAAGAGACCAAAAAGAGATATGTATAAAGAAGAAAGAGTGAAATAAAATATGAGAGAGAGAGAGAGAGAGAGAGAAAGAAAGATAAAAACAAATAAAGGAGAGGTTGTCAAAGTAGTAAAATAGAAAGATAAGAAGATAGTGATTTTCCAAGCGTAGCTTAGATGTGGCACAAGGCCGAAAGTAAGGGACACCCAGTGAGAATCGAACTCACTACTCATAATTGTTATAGCGAGACAAGCTTGCTAACCATTACACCCCCTGATAAGAAGATAATGTGGTTGGTTGTTTTATTAGCGGCATATAAACATCTATAGGTTATTTAATGTTGAAATCTAAATATTTCGTACGCGTTTCTATTGAAGATAATAATGGTTTTAGTAGAACAAGTTATAATAATTATCCCATAGCTGGGGAGAGAAGTGGCGCATTCACACCTTTCCCTGGGGTATTTTCACGTAAGAGAATATAACGAAACCAATTGGAATAATTCTGAGCCGTCATCCATTACACCATTCGTTCATTCAAACTTACAGCATCTGATATTCTCAAGCGGCTACCCATTTACCAGGCTCAACGTTGCTTAACGTCGGTTATCATCCGGGAACTGGTGTTTCAACATGATGTGGCCGTAAGCCTGATAGGATGATAAGACCGGTCGATAGATAGATAGATAGATAGATAGATAGCAGTCTCAAAAGAGAGACCGAGTTTAAGAAAGAGACGAACGAAACTGCGAAAGAGAAAGCGAGGGTATAGAAAGATGAACGAAGAAAATTGTGAAAGAAAAAACGAGGGAGAGAGAAAGGAAAATAGGAAAGAGGTGAAAAAAGAAGAAAATAGATACAGTTGAAGAAATAAGGGAGTGAAACAGAAGCAAATAGATAGATAGATAGATAGATAGGGAGAGAAAAAGTGAATATGAAAAGAAATAGGGATAGAGATTAAAACTGAAACAAACGAGGAAGTAAGTTCTTGGTAGATAGATGAACGAGAAGGAGATAGATAAATTGACTGAGAATGAGAGAGAGAGAGAGAGAGAGAGAGGTAGAGAGAGAGGGGGAGAGAGAGAAGGGGTAGAACTGATCGAAAGAGAAAGAGAGGGTGTGAAACAAAAAGGGAGAAACTAAAAAAAAACTTATAAGAAAGAGAAAGATACCTAGAGCGAAGAAAGGAGACAAGGTAAAGTAGAGAGTGGTAATGATTGCTTGCGAGGCGCCTATTGTTTGATCGATCAGATCGATTGTCTGCCATTCTAATCAAATTTCAAGTAATTATGAAGACTCAAAGCGAAACTGAAAATAGAAATTCGCCATAAGTAGTTGCTAAATAATTGAACAGCTCTTTGTCCGATATTGGGAGGCCGAGCGGTCACCGGGGAGCGGTGTCGGATGCGAACGGACCAACACTCATCGCCATTATTAGATTCGCTCTGAACGAGAGACTTTTCACTTTTCCAATATGGCATACTTCCGGAAGATGAGCAGAGAACAATAAAAGCCAGCCATTGGCTAGACTCCCACTCTCTTATCAGTCGGCCTTTCTTGCCGTTCTATCTTCGTTACCTTTTCGTTTCTCTCTATCCAAACTGACTTCGTCAAGACATTCTCTCGCGTTCACTTCATCAAATTCTTTTCTTCAACATTTCTTTGCTATGTAAAATAGATAGATTTACTCTTACTATTTTTCTCGCCAGTGTCGAACGGAGGTTCGTATTCATCGTGAAACCAATGTAAGAGTCTTACAAAGAGACAATCGTTATTACTAATAACGATTGCCTCTATGCAAGACTATCTATCTATCTATCTATCTATCTATCTATCTATCTATCTATCTATCTATCTATTCATGTTCATCTATCTATCTTATTTTGATCATTTATACCTATTTATATATATCTATCTTATTTTGTTCATATCTATCTATCTATCTATCTATCTATCTATCTATCTATCTTATTTTGTCCATTTTACATATATATATATATATATATATATATATATATATATATATATATATATATATATATATATCTATCTATCTATCTATCTATCTATCTATCTATCTATCTATCTGTCTAATGTATACCCCATCTTCTGAGTAGGGGCCTTTTGGTTGACGGGTTCGATTCC